TCCCAATTTCACAGATGTTGAAGTGGTCCCTTTTGTGATTTCGTTTGTGCCCACCCATACAGCCTTACATATTAATGTTTATAACACCTTTTCTTCTCTCCCAAACGGAGCCATTTAAAAAACTATAAAATAAGTTGTGTTTTAATGTATTATAGCACTTAATGGAGCAAATTCCTCAAGCCCAAGATAAAAGTGAGAAAATATTTAGTAACATCCGAGGAGAAGGCCTCACGTGTAAGGGTTGGGAGCCTCTTCCCCACACTCAGGTCCAAGTTTCAGTTGGCAAGTGCTGGCCTCGCAGCAACGATCCTTGCATTCCTTCAAAGTACACACAAGACCGGGAGAGTCGGGTTAGTGTGTTGTTCCCACAGAACAAGTGCAGAGGATTTAGGTACAAGATGGCAATGAAATCAAATTTCACCATTTAAACTAAACTATTCTGTTACACCAACCCCCGTGGAAATGACCATGGGAAAATAACGATAGGGAAAAAAATATCATAAACAATGAAAACTATCTCTTCAATAACCAAAAAAAAAAATGATCTAAGCATTTCCTTAATGAGTTTGGACCATGTGCAATTACATGTACATTAATTAAAATATTCTACACTACTCAAATCATTTGAAATTAGAGAGAAAAACTGAAACCTGAATTCATTTTACCAAGCCCACAAAATTCTGGCAGAGAGACTGACTGATTGGGATCACAGATACTATTCTCATAGATGAATACAAATGCAAAAACTATAAAGTGATGTCAGTAAAATCCCAGCTTATTCAGGTAACAACTCTTCATTACAACTGTGAATTTTCTCCACCCAAAGTGCAAGGGCAGCTTGTCTGTACAGAAAGGGCAATGGAATCCATCCTGTTAAGAGACTGAGTGGAGGAAACAACCATATTGCTATGGTGGTCGACGGCAGTTAGTTGACAGCAGCCATTGCTGAATCTCGGAACAGTTACCTATCACATATGAAAAGTACAGCTGGCACAATGCATGGTCACCATATGGAAAATCTAGGTGACAACTTGTAAAAGGACAGCTGATAAAATGAAGGACAAGACAAGCGTGACTGACATTCTGTGTTTTTATGGAAATTCTAAAAAAAATAGCACAAGAAAGGTAAAAAAAAAAATGAAGGAATAAGAATTGACAAGAACAAATCATATTTCCATTGTTTGTTTGGGTACAATTCTCTACCCAGAAGAAAACAGAGAATTGATTTAAAAATATTTGATGAGTCATTAAGATGACATCAAAATTAGTAATGAAGGAGAACCTAAATAAAGAGAAAACATTGCACATCCGGCAAAAAAGAAAAAATAGTTTAGAATAAACTTTCAAACTGTGTAAGCACCACATGAAGAAGATGTTTCCTGAGAAACTTTGAAGGCAGCTCTTCTTTCAAAGACAATATTTAATATTATGGAAATATCAGTGACCTTGAGAGCAAAGCAAGGATTTTACATGAATGTGTCTCTAAAGGTCATAAACAACATCTTAGAGTTAGCAATTTACTACCTAACACTTAACTTCACACAATAATGTCATTATGTTATCCTGGGATTTGAAATGCTTTTGGAAAGAAAACTAAAATTAATAGCAAAACAAAGAGCAAATCTACTTTTTACTCTGATATCAAGTTTATCTTTAGAATCTCTAAAAGAACATTAAAAAAGAAAAAAATAAAACCTGCGTAATTGAATTACCTTGCTAGGTCTCTAAAAGTTGCTTTAGACGTAGATTTTCATACCTTAGGAGAGCCACAGTCACAGTCTTCTCCCACCTCCAGAAGTTGGTTCCCACACACAGGTTCTGTTATTATATTTGCAGGTAGAGGTGCTTGCATTATGCACTTTGGTTTTTTAGATGAAAGGTATTTTTGAAAATATGAGAGGCAGGATGAACTGAAATCCTTTGGGAATTTTGAACTGCAACCAGAAAAAATACTCAGAAGTAACACGATATAGAGTGCAGTGGCTTTTCATGTTAAGTGATTATGAAAATCTA